CTGGTTTAAACCAGGCTAAAGTAACAATGATCTAAAACAGACCTGAAGTCAGCCTGTAACTTAAACTTTAGCTAGTTGAAAAATTATGACTTCATCTAGTAATAAAGTATATTTATTATTTCTTTTTACTGTCATAAAAAATAAGAAATTTCATRTTTACCAGTCAACAGTTAGAAAATGTTCTCTGGTTATAAGATGAAACTTGTCTCTATTAGCTAACCATCTTCTCAACAAGCAGGTTCCTCTAACAGAAACCTAAAAATACTCACATTTATAATATTATTTTACACTCTGTAGGTCTAAATATTAATCAGAGGACAAAGTAATATCTAATGGTTTGTGTTAAATTGTAGCATGATTCAACAGTGCTAAACTCTGTATATATGCTCCACAAGCTAACATCTGCTAACCAGCTCAATGTATAACAGTGATTACATGGACTTTATAAGATTATTTTAATTGTAAACTGTTACATTATGTTCTGCTCAGATCACATTGAGCTAAATAAGATCAAATCTGCTGACTTGTGTTGTAAAATGAGATGTTTTCCTGTTTATCTTCTGTTAATAAATCCATAACACAAACAGCTTTTCTTGCATTATTTAAAACATTAGACATATTTTATAAACTGTAAAATATTAATAATAATTGGGTTAGTGTTATTATTAATAGTTTTAATGATTTCTACATCGTCAGTCCTATTTTCCTGCTCTGTTGTCAACATGTACAGTAATGGGAAATCCAGACTCTTGACCGTTTTGCTTTAGCTGTTAGCTTCACCAGCCGATCACATGGTCACGTGGTTTCTGTGCACTCCAGCTGTTCTGTATAAACTCCTTGACTAAAACACTTTGTTTTATGACACAGTTTCCTGTGATTTCGTGATGAGTCCAACAGTGAGAACTGGCATTAATCCAACTGTGTACAAACTAAGAAGTTCAGATTAAATTTGTATTTTCATCACTGAATTCTCTAGAAATTTTTAGGCTTTTTTTTGCACCTATTCATGTATATACAGACAAAATACATGATCTGTTTGTTTGTTTATTTTGGTCAGACCTATCCACATGTTGTTTATCTAACTACCAATATGTCCGTCTTCTAGGTGATTATAGATGACTACCTCCCAGTGGATCATAATGGAGAGCTGCTGTGCTCCTACTCCAGCAACAAAAATGAGCTGTGGGTTTCTCTGATAGAAAAGGCTTACATGAAAGTGATGGGTGGCTACGATTTCCCTGGCTCCAACTCGGTGAGTAAATAATGAGACTTTACAATCGGACCTGTGATAAGTCCACCAGCTGTGGTAAAACTGACACCAACAGTTGTCAGTAAAAGTCACGTTTTCTTAAATTGTGTTCTTTGCAGAATATTGATCTGCATGCACTCACTGGCTGGATCCCCGAGCGCATTGCTATGCACTCTGACAATCAGTCCTTTAACAAGGAAGACACCTTCCGCATGCTCTTTCAGAGGTGATTCATTTTTGGAAACTTGCATGAAAACTTCCCAGATTCAGCTGTAGATGACTTCTGCCCCGTCTCTCCTTTTTTATTTTTCTTCATCTTCCCTCTCCGTTTGCATCACCTTTTCATTTCCAGATTTCACAAGGGTGACGTTCTCATCACCACAGCGACAGGGGTGATGACAGAGGAGGAAGGAGAGAGATGGGGTTTAGTGCCAACTCACGCCTATGCAGTTCTTGACATCAGGGAATACAAGGTTAGAGTTATGAGTTTAATATTGCTCTGTTGTTCAGAGAGCTCCTCTATTTATCCTGAGTGTAAAAACAGAAAATTAAGTTTTTGTATACTCTCTGACTCAACTCCTGAGAACATCTGTCACTTTACTGAATAACATTGTAAATTCTGCGTTAAATAGTAAGCTTCTTTTCTCATTGACTTTTTTTCTTGTAGGGAATGCGTTTTCTGCAGCTGAAGAATCCGTGGAGTCATCTGCGGTGGAAGGGGCGCTACAGCGAGCGCGATGAGAAAAACTGGACTCCGGAGCTCCTCAAATACCTCAACTTTGACTCCAAGACAGCACAGAAGTTTGATAATGGTGGGCCTTTATTTTTCTTTTTTTTTATTAATCAGAGGAAATGATATGCTGCGTTTAAAATTGAAGTAATTTTTGTAGCTTTTGTTGTGTAAAAGCCTTCCACGGTGCATTTTCTGTTGGCTAAAGCTTACAGGAAATGTAGCTCTTTGTATAACTAAGAAAATGAAACAACATAATATATTTTTGCTACTTGGAGTCGTTTAAATGATTTTAAAACAACGTTGGGGATTTTGTTGGTTTCCAGGTGTTTTTTGGATTGCTTGGGAGGATCTCTGTCAATACTATGATGTCATTTATCTAAGCTGGAGCCCTGGTCTGTTTAAGGATTCCTCCTGTATTCATAGGTATGTGTCTGAATACCCATTTTGCTATAACTACTTAAGTTTTGGGTAAAAATATACATTTTCTCTGTGCCTGATATAGATGAGTGTCCCCAAATGCTTAGTTTTAAATGTTATGAGCTGGATTGTGTTTAAATAAGGGATTTATTAATTTTACTTATTAAAAAAAACACAGTTTCAAGTTGATATTTCTGTTTGTTTTATCTTTTACAGTAGCTGGGATGGAAAGCAGGGACCAGTGAAGGACGTCTACAGTCTCGCCAACAATCCTCAGTACAAGCTGGAGGTTCAGTGTCCAGCAGGGGGCGCTGCGGTTTGGGTGCTGCTCACCAGACACATCACTGACAAGGTCAGGACACCCTGACAGAGCAACACCACGATGTGTTTGTATTTCAGTCAAGCCTAATTTTATAGTATTTAATTTTATTAGGATGTTCTGATTTAATCTGGCGACTGTTTGTTTGTTCACACAGGATGATTTTGCTCAAAACAGGGAGTTTATCACACTGGTTGTTTACAAGACAGATGGCAAGAAGGTTTACTACCCAGGTGACGTCTGATGCTGAAACTTTTTTTTTTCTTTTTGTCTCACTGAACCCTGTAAATGATTCACATCAGCAGTTTGTCTGTCACACCTTTATTTCCACCTTACAGTCTCACAGCAAGGTCAGGTGTCCTGAAGAAACATTAGTCTATTAGAGAAAGCCTATTTCTGTGATACACGGCTCGGTTCACAAAGACAAGTTACGGCTGTAGAGAGGAGCTCTCGAAAATAATAATAAAAAATGATTCGTTCTTCCACTTTTAGTGTATAAACCTAATGAGACTGAAGAAAGGTCAATGTAAGCTCAGCGTTGCTGTGGTTTTATTTCTTTTCTTCGTTCCTCTGCAGCCGAACCCCCACCTTACATTGATGGAATCCGCATCAACAGCCCCCACTACCTGACCAAGATGAGGCTGACCACCGCAGGAACACACACCTTCACTCTGGTGGTTTCCCAGTATGAGAAACAGAACACCATCAACTACACACTGAGGGTGAGAGACACCATTTAGAACTTTAATGCTTGAACGATTTAATACAAAATTATTTGTAAAAAAGCTTATTTTTTATTGTTTAGCGTTTGGTATCTTCAAAATGTTTTTTTTTATCTGTCACAGAAAATGATAAAAACTGAATGAAAATTTAAGAAAAATCATATGGATGGTTCAAACATGAGTATTTTATTTCATTTAAATCCAAACTGCAGGACAAAGAAGAAAATTAAACTTTTTTACAGCATAGTGACAAAAGGGTGAAATAGCTAGCTAATGTCTAGTGCAGGGCTATTCTATCCAGCAAGCCTGTGAGACCCCTCCCACTTAACTTCATTTAATTTAATATAAAAATTTTGTTTCAAATCATTTGTAAATTTTAAATCTATGTTTCAATGCAACAAAATAATTAAAAAAAGTTAAAGGTAATACTTGTTTTGTTACATGCTGCAGCGTTTCACCTACCATTAATGGGACCCCACCACCACAAGATGTCAGGCCCCCAAGCTGTGAGCGATTTAATTAAATAGGCCGTGTGTAGTGTGTTTCAGCAGATTTCCATGAGTCCACACTAAAACTGCTGCATTTTCTCAGAACATCAACACAGATTATGTGTTGGCATGTCATACTTGCTTTTAATCTCACTATTTAATTACCAAGGTAAAAAAAAAATAAGCTCATACAAGTCGGGTTCATATCACCTCAAAAGACTACAATATGGAAATTGTTTTAGATTTATAAATCAAATTTCATGTTTCTTATTGGTTTGGACAAGTGCAAAGAAAACACCAAATGCTTCTTTACTATAACGCACAACGTGAACTCCCAACAGTCTGAACTTTTTTATACTGCAGTCAAAATAATGTCTGCTGGTCCTTTTCTGTTTATTTTCACAAATGTATTCTCATCCAGTTAGGAGCAGTGGCTGGTTTTCTGTCTGTAAATTAAATTCATCAGTCCAATAGTTTTTCTAAGCTCGCTCATTTGATAAACGTCAGTTCCCTCAGACTAGTTCAGAGAGTTGGGATCTTTTAAGTGTGTCTCTGTGTGTGTGTGCTGATGGGTGTGTACACGTGTGACCCAAATACTTCTCTTTAGTTATTTATTATTCATAGACTTTTCCCTGCGAACTGAAAAAGAGATGGCCTTTGGAGAGCTGTTTATGCTGAAATAACTCATTAAAAAGAACATGCATTCGTTACACGTCTCAGCTGTAAGGCTGTGTTTACTGTTTGCGTGTCCGTGTAACACAATCGCTGTAATTATTACAGGCTTTTACAGGCTTTCTCTCTCACTCTTTCTCTCCTTCCTACAAGCTGAGGGTGAAAACCTCCTCATCCCCCTTCAGCTTAGATCACTTTCTGCTGGAGATTCATCTGGAGAATAACTGACTAAACCTATTTCTCCTGAAGAGTTTCAACTAGAGATCTAAGCGTTAAATGTGATTTTATTCTGCAATGCTCCTCTGCCAGAACAAAGCTGAAATTCAGATTTTTTTTTTCAGCACATGTACATATACAGTCCCAACTTTGTTTCAAGCTAAGATATAGAAAATTGTGATGCATCATTTTGCTTATAAAATACAGAAAGTGAAAAATTAAATGTATTTTTGCTGAATGATTGTTGGATTGCTGCTGCTTCTTTTTTTTAATTAAGTTACCTGTTAACAATGAACATTTTTTTCTTTATATAGGTGTACACAGGATGCAAATTCTCCTTCTCCAAGATACCAAATCCCTTCACTCATACAAAACGGGTACGTGCTTCATACATCTACAAGTAAGACCTGCTGCTTTGCAGTGTACAACTTGTATCAAATCTGTAAATTTAATTCCTTAATAAGACAGAAGTAATTGTGTGAATGTTTCTAAAGCATTCACACTTTTTTTTTTTTTTGGCTGCTAACGTCTTTTACAGTTTTGTTCTATTTCAACAATTCATATATCAAAGTGTTCAGCTCCTTCAGGACATTCCTGCTATGATTTTTGTATTAGTGTAGTTTTGAAATTTTTGTCTTTTTCAGCCACTTTTTTCTGTTTGAAAATTACCAGTAATAGTTTCTTTCAAATCCCTCAAACATTTTGTGCTGTTTACAACCTTTCACTTCTTTCACCTGCTCTATTTGTTTTAACTTGTGTGTGCTAATTTCAGCTTCCTTCAGTTCCTTTCAGCTGCTTTCTGCTGATGAAAATTTTTTTCGAGTACTGTTTAACAATTTTTTCACTAATTTGGGTTTTTTTTTTTAGCTAATTTGACAATTTTTGTTAATTTCTGCCTTTTTTTTGCTTAATTCAGTCTTTTGTGGGGGTTTTCTGCTTGTTTTGGTGTTTTTCTGCTTATTTAGCTCCTTTCAGGTTCTACTAATTTCAGCTTTTTGTCTGAGCTTTATATGCTCCTTTTAGTTGGTTTCTGCTAATTTCAGCCTTTTTGGTTTTTCGAGGTACTGTTTAACTGCTAATTTGAGCTTTTTTAAAGCTAATTWAAAATTTTTGTTTTAATTTCCTCAATTTTTTTTGCTTAATTCGGCAAGTGTGCTCTTTATTTTTTTCTGCTTATTTTAGTGTTCTGCATTTTCAGCTACCTTTCTAGCTATTTTTCTGCGAGTTTCTGCTACTTTACAGCAGATTGCCCTACACCTGTTGACATTGAAAGGTTTAGGATTACTGATGTTTTTTTCGTTTTTAACAGAAAAACATCAGTCGGAGTGTCCTGCCTGTCACTCTGCCGAAGGTGGTGATATTTGTGACTTTCTCCTCAGATCAACGGCCAGTGGAAAGGTCTCAGTGCTGGTGGATGTGGAAACTATAAGGACTCTTACAAACACAACCCCATCTATCAGATAAACCTGGAGCGGTCCGGACCACTGCTCATTGAGCTGCGTGGATCCAGGTTGGGCTCATTCCAGACCAGAACTTCACTTTAACTCTGATTTTTTTAAAAAAAAATTATAATGCTTGTAAATTTGCATCCAAATAATTTGGTGTTTACCCAACATTTGAAAGGGTAAAAATACAGCTGAGAAATTATTAGTTTAGCTTGTAATCTGTTTAGTGGAATATCAATAACAAGTTTGTTAGTGTCCATGTCTGCAGGTGAGATTCCTAGTTTGTAATTAATGATCACATTTCAATAAGCAGTGCAGATTATATTGTTTCTTTCTCCAGTTCTAAATTAAGTGTAGTCTTGAAAACTAAATCAGTAACTAACTTTCCTTGTGCAGCATAAAATCTCAGTTTTCTACCTCTTTGCCCTCTCTGGTGGATTGGTTATGCAATCAAGCCTTTCTAACAAGAAGTCAGTTAGCCATGTGCTTATGATGTCTATGCTTGTTTGCTATGCAGAGCTGTAAACCTTCAAGCAAAAGATGAAGAGCGAACTGGAAAAAATGGCAAAAAAAGACTCCTCATGTCTTTTCTAACGAGTTGCAAAACAAATGATGAAGTTGTGTGTTTGTAATGTCATTGTGTCATCAGTGTGCATTTAAAACTCCCTGCTTTGTGCCTTCAGGCAGTACAGCGTTGGGTTTGAGATGGTGACGGTGTCGACGGTGGGTGATCCAGGCCCGGCTGCCTTCCAGAAGAAAAGCAGTGGAGATTACAGGTGCAGCAGTGACCACATGGTTCCACATGGACAGCTTAAAATACTTGTTGTTATTGAAATACACTCACCGGCCACTTTATTAGGTACACCTGTCCAACTGCTCGTTAACACTTAATTTCTAATCAGCCAATCACATGGCGGCAACTC